TCGTGCTACCATGGAGCTCTCTCTCTCTCTCTCTCTCTCTCTCTCTCTCTATCTCTCTTTTTATATTTTTATTTTTATTTTTATTTTTTATGAGTATGTCGAGCCTCTACTCGGGACTTTTAGGACGAGGAATCACTAAGTACTTCCTCATCTTCCAATCTTGGCTCCTTTGTCACCATTCAAAGAAGATTTTTTCTTGTTTTTCGAGCAAATCGGTGTCTTGGATAATATGGGATGTTCCTCAGAGTGCTCATAATATCATTGGACTTCCAATTTTGTTCCTCCACTAATACTCTTTTGAAGTTCAGATAGTCGAGCCTCTTTAGGTTTTACTTGGACTGATGTCTTCCTTCACTTTCTGATGCCATTTTAACTTGAGAAGAAAAGAATTTCTGGAGATTTTAGAGAAGAGACAGAAAGATAGAGAAGTTCTATTTTTCTATCACCCTGAGGTCCCTTTTGGGTGTTTAGCCCGGTAGAGTTTTTTTCAACACTCGGGATTCCTTTTGATTTTTCAGCCCGACAGATTTTATTTTTCTTTGCCGCTAGGGTCCCTTTCAAGTGTTCAGCCCAGTGGCTTTTTTTTTCCTGCAACACTCAAGAAGCCTTTCGATTTTCATCTCGGCGGGTTTTTTTTTTCCTTTCGAAGAAGATGGAAACAGACGAGGAGAAGAGTTGTTTGCTTTTTTTTCCTTCTTGTGGTATTTCGTCCTAAAAAAAACAGATAATAACTCGATCATCCTTCCTTCTTGCAAGTGGCAAGGAAGTCCTAGTGTTGGTTATCCTTAGATTTTCCTTGTCCCTAGTTAGTATTTGATACTTCCTTGACAAACATTGTCAAATCCTTATAGAATATTTCCTCCTTGGACTGCTTCACTCGAGCTTTGATTTTCAGACTCGGAGTCAATTTGAGCTTCCTAATCCTTAAATCTCTTGTTGGGTCGACTAAGTTCATTTTCTTTCATTTTTTTTTTTTTTTTAAATTTTTTTTTTAAATTTATTTATTTATTTAATATTATTGTTTTTTAACTCCTTAAGTTGTTAATACCATGGAGTAAAATGCCTAAGCAGAGCATGGATGTCGCACTTGGCTTATTTGGAAGGGAGGAGTAAGTGATCACCCCACGCCTTTTCGTTAATCTTTTTCTGTTGCAAATTCATGTTAGTCTTGAGGAGTATATCGCCTCGACGCATATTGGGAGTAGTCAGATAAGGCGTGGGCCTCACCGGTTGCCCCTGCTTTATTTTCAACGTTAAGTGAGGCTGCCCTTAACAAGTGGTTTGGCAAGGCTGCCCCTGTAGGATCGTTTTCCTGATATCCTTTCTCTTGAAAGAATAGTATGATTTTATCTTTAATGTATGGTTCTTCATCCCATATAGGCGGGTTATTCAAAAAATCATGTGAAAGTGACCCAGGTGGTCCCTTTAGAATTTCTAGGGGTTTGATTTCTTTTAACTCTTACAGAGGTGTTGGATTGAGTGGCATGGAAGGAACATGTATGAGATCCCCATAAACTTGATATTTAGGACATCTCTTCACATATTTTCAACAATCTTCGGCCATAGTAGTCCAGCAGTATCCTTATCTTCTGAATTTGTAAGCTAGAAGTGCTGCCCCTGCGTGTCCTGCTTCGTTATGTAGTTCTTTGAGCACCGTGTCGACCTCTAGTTGGTTAATACACCTTTGGAGGTTTCTTTCAAATGACTTCTTGTAGAGGATGTTGTCTTTGATCAAGAAGTTGATTGATAATCTTC